TTACATACCATGAAAGAGAAGAAACGTAAGATGGGCATTATGGCTTGCAAGATTGGTATGGAGAAAGCCTATGATACATTAGAATGGGATTTTATTGAAAATGTATTAAATAAATTTGGTTTTCACAAAAAAAATAGATTTAATTGGGTAATGGAATATATAAAATCTGTTTCATTTCAAACTCCAATTAATGGGTCTGCCACTAGATTGGTGAAAGCCAGCAGGGGCATTAGACAGGATGACCCTCTTTCTCCGTATATTTTTTGTGTTATGTGCTGAAGTGCTCTCTAAGAAGTTAGAGGGGGAAGTCTTAAACGGGGGAAAGCTGATTGGTTGTAAGGCTTCTCGGGGTGGTCCAACCATCCCTATCCTCCAATTTAATGACAATTGCATTATCTTTGCCAAAGCCTCAATTGATGCATCTCTCAAAATTAAAGAAATCATTGACAAGTTTACCATTGCTTTGGGTCAACTCCCAAATTTCTTAAAATCAGTTATTACCTTCTCTAAAAATATTCCTAATAGACACCAAAAGATTATGTCCAGAATTCTCAAAATTCCCCTTGAGACTAAAAACAAAAAGTATCTAGGTGCTCCCATTATTTCGGGCAGGGTATTTAAAGAGGACTTTAAATTTCTTGGGAGAAAATGACTAAGAAACTTGTGGGATAGAAAAAGAACATTCTTTCACTTGCAGGTAAGCTGACCCTAATTAACAATTCATCTTACATGATCCCTCAATTTGTGATGCAATCTTTTAAAATCCCCATTAATGTTATCAATGATCTTGAGAAAGCTCAGAAAGAGTTTATTTGGTCAAACTCAAAATCTCAAAATCCTATCCACCTTGTTAACCAGAAGCAAGTTTGTACTTCCAAAGTTAAAGGGGGCTTGGGTTTAAAAAATCTTCGGTGGATCAATAAGGCCCTGCTTGCCATGTTGGGGTGGAAAATTATTAACAACCATGACAATCTTTGGGTAACAATATTGAGGTGTAAATACTTGTCCATTTGCAATTTTTGGGAAGCTAAATTAAAAAAGGGTATCTCTTGGGCTTGGAGAGCAATTCTTGATTCAACTGATTTGATTAAAAGAAGAATGAGGTGGCAGATTGGTAATGGAAATTTGGTCAATTTCTGAAAGGACGCATGGGCAGAAAATACTCCAATTTTAGATGATGTCAACCCATATAGTATCCCAAATTTGAAGATGTCTGTTAGTAATGTGATTGATTAGGATAAAAGGGTTTGAAAGGAAGATCTCATTAGATCTTTGGTGCCCGATTGTGTGTTGCACCATATTAAATCCATCTTAATCCCTTCTAATAATTTGGAGGATAAGATAATTTGGAAGTTTACTCCGGATGGAAAATTTTCTGTTAAAAACGACCATGAAGAATGTATTAATGGTGGAATAGGCAATACCGATGGAGGTCAGAATAATATTGGAAGTTTACTCCAAATAGCAAATTCTCTGTTAAGACGACCTATAATGAAGAATGTAGTATTAATGGTGCAATACCAATGGACGTCAGAATAATATTTGGAGACTGAAAGTCCTAAGATTAAAGTTTTTCTCTTTCTTCTCCGTAGAGATCTTAATATTAATCTGGACTGTCATCTTTGTGGTAAGGAGAAAAATATTGACCATTTGTTCATTAAAATGAACAGATTTGGATGCTTGTCAACACAGTCTTGTGGAACTCCTCGTTTTTCCTATCAAAAAAATCCGGCAATCCCTTCCTAAGCTTCACTAGCATCTGATGCCACTGTAGAGCCTTACCTTCCAAATGCACAACTGCCAATTTAACCTTGGATTCGATTGGAGTATTGTCTAATTCAAAAAACTGTTTACATTTGTAAAATCATCCCTTCAAATCCTCCCCATTAAATCTTGGGATACCGAGTAAAATTCTGATGATTTAAAGTTGGAGAATTTACCCCAGATGCATTCTAAGCTGCTTGAACTTCAGCCAGAAACTGACTTTGTTGAAAATTCATTCCAGCTACATGATCCCAACTCAGAAATAGCCCTTTCTTGCTTTTCAGTTTTCTTGAATTCTTGGACAAGAATCTTGAGGGTTTTGTCCAATCTCCTTAAATCTTGCGACCTTGTTCCCTCCACCATGGCCAAGGACCACAGCTCTGATACCAAATGTTGCGCGTTGCAGAGTTTGAATAAGGAAGACGGTCACTATTAACATTCACAAAAGGTCCAAAGTAGAAGAAAGGGCCTTGAGCGAATGAAAGGTGGGTTGGCTTACCCAGAGATGAAAATTCTAATGAGAAGAGCAGAGAAAGAGAAATAAGAGAAATGAGAATTTTTTCCATTCCCTATCTTGTATACAAAATGATGAATTTATACATTCAGCGAATACTAAAATGATGGCAAACATGTACATGCGTCTCTAAGGGTGTTAATGGACCGGTTTTGGATTGAATCCGTCCAGTCTAAAATCAATTTGGACAGATTGAACAGACCAACAAGACATTGGATTGGACCAGTTGGTCCAAAATATTTATTAGATTCGATTGGACCTGGTCCGTCCATAACAAATTTATATTAGATTTGGGTTGGATTAAGCCAGTATCTGATCCATTGATATAAGATAAGAATATGTGTCAATAGATGGTTTGAGTTGAAATCAATCTAAATCAAAATTAATTTGAACAGATTGGACGGTCCAAACATCGAATTAGACTGATCCAAATTAGTCCAAAACATTCATTGGATTGGATTGGACCTGGTCCATTTATAATAGACTTCAATTGGACTGGATCAAGTCCAATTGACACCCCTACGCGTCTCAGTGCTAACCAACATCCGTACGGCCGTAACAACCAGCGATGCCAACTATTTACAGCCACATCTTATGCCTTTGTCTTGCAACAATGGGCGTCTCGTCTAGTCTTGTCAAATCCACAATGTGTGAGCCCAAGTTCCACGTGCTTAAATTCATTAAGCACGCTCTCCATTGGATGGGTGAGGTCAGGATGGCAGATTAATGTTCTTGAAGATCCTTGCATAGAGGGGTGAAGTTAAAAGAAGGTGGTGCGAATTTTAACTGTAAAGTCGCCGAGCTTGTAAATCTCACTATTCACTGTTGGAGGGGTGATTTAATCAATCTTTATTTTCCCATCAAGATCGTTATCACTTCTTTGCATCAACCTCCCCTCTCATGCTAAAAGCTTGGATGGTTTAGATTGCATTTGGCATTCCTTACTTTAAGTATTTATCACCTTTTTCCAGTTAAAATACCGTTATAAATAATGAGTTTTTAATTGCGAAAAGGAGATATGTCCTTAAAATAAGGAATGCCAAATGCATATTCGATCAAATCACATGTTATATGCCTCTCCATCTCATATGTGTGGATTAAGTTAAACAATAAATTTGGGACGTTATGCCTCCAACTTTTTTAAATAAAAAAAAAAGAAATTTGACTGTTGACTAAACAAAACTAAACAGGTACAACTGTTATTAACAAGCAATCTATAGGAATAAGCCATTCTTTTGGTCAAGGGGCAGAAATCGTTTTGCAAGATTCTTAACTGTTTCATTTTCTTCTCCTTTGGGTGCCATTAACAAGATTTCAGCAAAAGGCAAAAGCCATTTACAAGAAATCGTTTGATTTCTTCTGTTTTTCTTCTCACTTGAGGACACTGCTTTTTCCAAATGAAGTAATAGCAATAGTATTCTGCATCATCAAGCTACAGAAAATTTCTCTAAGACCCATTTGAGATGATTAAAACTCTTAATGCACTTTGGTGGGGAGAACCTATACGTTGTCTTTGCAAAAACTCACACCCTTGCAAAATGATTTCTGTCCCTTGGAACTATTTGCAAAACAATTTCATGTAATTCTCTTGTTAATGGCGCCCGAAGAAGAGAAGAAAACAGTAAAGAAATCCCATTTACTACAAAACGATTTCCATCTTTTGACTGAAGAACGATCTGTTGCTGCAAATCGCTGGTTAATGGCATCTTCGTTAGGTTGACTGAAGAACGATCTGTTCTGCCACTTGGCAAAATAACTAACTCCTAGAAAATGATTTCCTTTTCACTTTTCTTTTAAGTTTCTAAAATTAAATTTTAGGGACGTAACACCCCAAACTTGTCGTTTAACTTAATCCACACCTGTGAGATAGGGAAGCATGTGGTGTGTGACGTGATTGAATTTGATTGGAAGTGCACCACGCCCCACACCAAATAAGTACAAAAAATCCGGGTTCAGCTCTCAGCCTTTTATTACAATCTTCCCCAGTCCTCAAGGACCTCAACTACTGCCCAGCAAGCCTTTGGAAACACTACTGGGACTTCATTTTGGGAATACAGGCATCATCCCAGCCCCCCGCCCCCCTCCCACCCCAGTGCACCTTTTCATTTGGAGATTATTATTCATCAAAGCCTGCCTGTCAGAAATGGCTTTGTTCGTGGTCACGTTAAGTTGGATTCAACCTGCAAATTGTATGATGACTAACTATCAATGCTCAAAGTACCAACTTTCACCAGAAATGAATATCAATTTTCATTAACTGTTACGCTTATACAAGGATGAGACATTCAAGGTTCAAAACATCGATACGCTTGATACACTAGTATGAGCGTATTGGGTGAATCTATACTGTTTTTTTATGTTTTTTTTTTTTTTTTTTCTGAAACCGGTTCAGGGGGGCCTGTTTAGGTCTCCTCCATCCCCTGAACCGGTCAGACCCTGATACACCCACTATAGGAGCGTATCAAAGGGGTCCCGGAACAATACATATCAACCAATACGAGCCGATATGTGTCGATACTTTGAACCGTGGAAACATTTGCTATTTTCAATTATTAATAATTGTATATTAATATTAATGACAGGAAGAGTGGCGTTACCTGAAACACAATTAACACTAGAATATTGATGTATACAATAGCTCTATATTGAGACATTTGCTATTTAGTATCGTGGTATGGATACAATATTTACATGTCCTGCTATATTAATTGTAATGTATCTCTTCATATAAAGTTTCTTGTCTGTATATATGAGAATTTCCTTCATGCATCCAAGTGTATCCAAATCTTCCACTATCCATGCACATCTAAAGTGCATCAATCCATTTCCAAGTATTAAATACACTCTGTGACTTTGTGATACTGATATTTTGAACCTTGATTAAAACAGATTAATTGTCACAAACAAAAGCAGGAACTGCTTACACTCAACTGATTTAAAAGTGAAATAAAATGTACTTCCAATCAAATAATGAAATCCAAAGGCCACGAATACCAACCTGACCATCTGGTTAATGCCGATAAGCTGGTGGAAAACACAGAAACATTGTTACATCTTTAAATTAAAATAACAATCCCCAAAAGTAAGGAAAAAAATGAAACTTATGGTACCCCCCCCCCCAAAAAAAAAAAAAAATTGAAAAATCAATGGAAATTACAGACAATTAAGGGGAAAAAAACTCACCACTGACGTATAAACATGACAACGATGAACTGTAAATGAATTAAAAGGGTTGAATGACACCTATATCAAAATTCAAAACCATATTTGTAGTTGAAAAACCGCACCTTCGGACCTGCTTCCAACTTCCATCCAATTTGAAACTAGCTTCTTCTGTCCCATGTATTCAACACTCTTTTAGAATGGCCAGTCTTAAGACTCTGGGCTTCCATCCTAGGCGTAACTTCACTTGGATAAATGTAGACAAGAGAAAACCCTTTGCTCAAACCAATCATGGCTTCACACAGACATACACCTAGGAAGAAGCAAGCTGGAGACAACTACCAGCATGGTGATACAACGCTTTTTGATGGGACATCATTATACTTGATATTTTGACAACTTGTCCTTCACTGGAGGCTCTAATAAAGACATGCACTGTTCCCACGCTCCATTCCTGAGCATCTGTCCAAATATTTATGCAGATGCTGTTTTATTACATTCACGTATAGTTTCTAGTCATGTATGAATTGCTAATAAATGTAAAGATTTCATCCTGTTATCAATGCATGAACTTCAATTTCAAGATATTGACTTCCAATGGATAAGCCAGGCAGATTGCTGGGTTTAGTAGGGCAGGTGGGCAAGAACAGTATATATGTTTCAACAAAATCCAGGGAATCCCCTCTATGCAATTTTATACCACTACAGTAGAAAACCAGTTCAAAATCTTTACCAGTGGCTGCTTGTCAATCAGCATAATTAAAATGGCAGGCAGGTCAAGGATTTAAAATTCAAATATAGACCATGTTTCAAACTGGTCCAAAGAAATTTTTCTACCAAAATTTTACTGATATTTCAAGATATAATCAAAACTTCAGAAATTTTTGGAACAATCTAAAAAGGAAACCATTCTTTTTTTTCAATATTTATCACTTCCAACTTTATTCTCTTGTATCCATTTCTTACATCTTATCTTTGTTGTTCCTTGTCATTATTTATATTTTCTCCTAAACATTGTCTTTCATTTACCCTCAGAATTGGAAAGAAACATCAAATGTTTTAAAATCTCAATGGGATTTTAATCCTTGCCACTATACCTGCAAAATTATTCCTTTATTAGATTGTTATGAGGCCATTTGGGGCCCTGCTAAACCATTTTTCGAATTCCTGAAATAGGCTAACATACAATTTCATATAAAAGGAACCCAAAAAATTACTAGTCTATAGTCAAGCTATGAAATGCTACAAGCAGACTGCAGACATTCACAAGCAAAGATAACAACTGACCTGCTTATACCCATTTAACACATGACAAACTCCATTGTGTAGATCCTCACTCCTTATTTCCTGAATGCAAAAAGGGTAAAGATTAAGTCAAAAGGGGAAAGGATCTTAGTAGTGAATTGGTTCTGAGTTTAGGATTATTCCATTCTTACATGCCAACTTGCAATAGCTTTGCACATATAAACAAGTGAACTCAAAGCCCCGGTTGGATTTTCTCTAACCTGAAAAAGTTTGACAATAACCTTTAGAAAATGAAAATTTTGCAACTAATCTACTTAATCTTTTCTACCTTTAAAAAAATCATACCAAAGCACATAAACCACGGAAAGCATCCTCTTTCTCAATATCATCTCGTATCCTGAAACAATTTGATTGTTCTGAGAAACTTGACAGAAACAAGTCCATACAACTAGTATAACATATATTAATGAGTATATCTATTCTTTCCAAATATGAAATGTATCTTGGATATAAATCAACTGCTTTTCTGGGTAAACCAAATATGAAAGCCTTAAATATTTCAATACTAGTCAGGACCCGTGTGATGCAAGGGCTTTTGTGTAGGAAATTGAGCAAGGAGTCTTATGTCATTCCTAATTGGGTTAAGTCAGACTAAATCCCTTTTTTTTGTTGATCAGCAATTCAGACAAAATCCATCGCAAGCATTATTTTTGTGGTATGTATTGTTTGATAAAGTTGTATTAATTTTCATTAAACTTTTATTTTTAATAATGCTTATTAGGGTTGATTATACAATATTATGTATTGCACAAAATCTATTTTATACAATACATATAGAAACTATTATATATAATATGTATTATAGGTGTCATATTATAATATATGTAAACATAATATATAAAATAATATAGCATGCGCATTATCTATTGGGGGTGGGGTGGATTGTGGGGGAGGGGGGGGCAGGGCAGGACTCAGGGTGGGCTGGACAAATAGCACCCCACCCTGTCCACGGTCACCAAAGTTTGGGTTTCCCTGAAACCTGTCTTGAAACCGATCAACAGTAAAAAAACCTCCCCAATCAAGGCATGGCGAATCGGAGCCCTAGCAGGGTTGTCATCCTTACTTGGGCTATCAAATACAATATAGAAAAATAAAATTGAAAAGATAAAAGTCTGGTTGGTATCAGGTGAACCCCTATAGGGTTGGGTCAGGTTCGGAAACTATATATCAATAAGTTGGGTTCGAGTAGAAGCATTGCAGGATCGGGTTAGGGTGAAGGAAAACCTATGCTGAACCCAGCTTGTTGTATTTATTTTCCATTATTTTAAATTAAATTTAAATCAATTTTAAACTACTAATTTTTTATTAAATTTTAATTTATTTAGTAAATTAATATTTAACAATTATTATTGTGTTAATAATTTTCTATTATGTTAATCATTTTTAAATGGAAATTAAATGAATAATTTTGTGAATTACTAATACTAGTTAACTAACTAATTAATTTTGCACGCTGTTATTGTTAATTGAGTTTAACATACAGTAGAAGATCAAGACTGTAATCAGTCTTGAATCCTAATAGGTTTTAGGTTTACAAAACAGAAGAAAAGTGAGAGAAAGGAGAAGGAATAGAAGAGAAACAAGAGAACACAAGGGGTTGAAAGGAGGGACAGATTCT